AAAAGAGTCACAGAAGGGAGTTCAAGGTGCTCCAAGAATCATAAAATAGGAATTCCAGAAGAAAATAAGAATTGACTCAATGGGTAAAGCAAAATTTGAAGAGAAGATGTATCACTGAGAATTTTTTAGAATTGAAAGTCATCGTTTTTCAGATTAAAAGTGTACATTAAATCAATAAAAGTAAATGCATACCCAGATGCATTGCAGTGAAACATTGAATATCAAGAATAAGGATAAAATATTAAAGGCTATTAGAAAAAATAAACAATAAACCTATAAAAATAATAATTAGAATGACATCAGACATCTACTTAACAACAATAGATGTCAGGAGACACTGGAGTAGTATCTTTGAAGTATCTTTGAAGTGCTGATGAAAAATAACTGACAACCTAGAATTCTGTACCTAACTAAACTATTCTTTATGAATGAGAACAAAGTAAATAAATTTCAGACAAAGATTGAGTTAACCACCTATAGATTCTTATTGAAAGAACTAACACAGATATATTGCAAACAGAGGAAGAGTGAACCAAGAGGGGGGGAGCAGGATCTAAGAAGCAATGGTGAATACAAAGAATTAATAATATATATTTTACCAAAGGTAATCAATGAGAAAAAAATATAATTTTTGTGTGTATGTTAAAAAAAGTGCAACTCATGGGCTTCCCTGGTGGCGCAGTGGTTGAGAGTCCGCCTGCCGATGCAGGGGACGCGGGTTCATGCCCCGGTCCGGGAAGATCCCACATGCTGCGGAGCGGCTGGACCTGTGAGCCATGGCTGCTGAGCCTGCACGTCCGGAGCCTGTGCTCCGCAACAGGAGAGGCCACAACAGTGAGAGGCCCGCGTACCAGAAAAAAAAAATACAAAAAAACCCCCTGCAACTCAAATTCTAGACAATCTTCACAAGGAAGGGGCTGTTCAGGGGTGGTTAAGGATGCTGAGTTTCTGGTTGTGTTTGAAAGGAGAATAAAGACACTGAATAACTTTCTTATTTATGGTTAATTATGATTGTTGAAAATTGAAGAGTGAAACTAAAGAACAAAGCACAACGTATCATTCAAAAGTAGCAAAGGAAGTAGGAAGGAATAAAGAAAACATTATTGAAATTTAAGAGAAGTTAGGAAAGGAGAAAAGAAGAAACAAAGAAAAAAAAAAAAGCCAAAACCACAAGAAAAAGATGGTGGAAATATGTCCAGATAGATCAGTAATCACGATAAGAGTAAATAGTTGAAGGCCTTTTAAAAGACATAGACTTTTAGGGTTGATTTTTAAAACTTAAATTCAGCTTTGTGCTATTTACAAGAAACATAAGAAATGACACAGAATAGTTAAAATTAAATTGGAAAGCTAAACTGGAAAAACTGAATAGGCAGACCAATTGTAGGGCACAGATCATTAATAGGGATAAAAAGGACATTCATAATAAGAAAGGAACAATCCTGCAAGGAGCAGCAATCATAAATTTGTATGTTTTTAACAACCTAGCCTCAATATATGAAGCAAAATCTGAAAGAATTACAAGGAAAATTTATAAGGAAATTGGAAGATCAAGTTGATATAAAATAAAGATACGAAGGATTTCAATGGCACAATTAAACTAGACAAAAGGTAAACTAGATAAAAAGAGAACCCTGCACCTAACGTAGAGATCATACAGTATTTTCAAGCACACTTTGAACATTTATAAAAATGGACTCTAATAACACAATCATATTCTCTGACTTCAATGCAATTAAATTAGAAATCCACAATAAAAAAGAGTATATGGCAAGAAGTAACCTCATGTATTTGTAAGCTATAAAACCAACTCCTAAAATAGCTTTTAGGTTAAAGAGGAAATCACGATGGAAATTACCAAGGGAACATTCATGGCTTTCTACTCCAGTTACCTTGCGAAGGAAGCAGATTGTTTTCTTACCCTGATTTATGCTTAAATAGTTCCTTGTGTTTTTTCCTTTTCCCTCTACCATTGCTCTAATTTCCAAGCCTTTTGCTTTGAAAACATTTTCGGGAAATCTTCTTTACTTTTATAGCTTTTGCATTTTTATTCTTGTTCTTTACCCTTAAAACTGTCTGCTTTTATATTGTAAACATATCGTCTTAGTGATTTTTGGCGTTCAGTGCTCACTTTTGTGTTAACATTTAAATCTCACGGACTTCTAATCGTCTCTCTTAAATATTGATTTTACCTTACTAGTCCAAACTCTTTTAAAATAATAGTCCCATTAAAAATTTTTGTCCTTTCAACAATTTTTTTTCTCTAAGCCTTAAAAAATTCTTTCTAAACTTCCTACCTTGTATTTATTATTTAACTTGGTAGTTTTCTTCTGTTAGTCTTTTTTCCCCCCTTAATTTATAGAATAAGAGCCAGCCTTGGAAGCTTGGCCTCAAAGTGGTGCATGGAAGAAGCTCCTCTTTAGAGAGAGGGAGCTTGTGTCTCCTGCCCTTCCCATCCCTGCAACCACCAGGCTGCCCTCTGGCACCTGCTAAGGGATCTCAGCACTGGCTGAAGGTTGGGTTTCACTCCGTGGGACTCTGGAAGCTCCTGGGTTACTACTTTCAGCACCATGGTTTTCTCTGTGCAGGTGAAGTGCTTGATGTGTTGCAACACTTTTTCTTCCTCAGTTCAAGGTCTCTGATATTAGTCTTTGTACCTTAGGCCATCTACACCACTAGCCATAGGGTCATCAACACCACTGGCCACAGGGTCATCTATACCACCAGCCACAGGACCTCCTACACCACAAGCCATGGGACCAGCTACACCACTGGCCACAGGGTCCTCTACCCACTAGCCACGGCACAGTCTACACCAGCGGTCCCCAACCTTTTTGGCACCAGGGACCAGTTTCACGGAAGACAGTTTTTCCATGGACGGGGTTGCGGGGAGGGATGGTTCAGGCGATAGTGTGAGCGCTGGGGAGCCGTGGGGAGTGGTGGATGAAGCTTTGCTCGTTGGCCCGCCGCTCACCTCCTGCTGTGCGGCCTCGTTCCTAACAGGATGTGGACACTGCGGCCCGGGGGTTGAGAACCCCTGATCTACACCACTAGCCACAGGGTCATCTACCCACTAGCCACGGGGTCATCTACACCATTAGCCACGGGACCATCTACACCACTAGCTGTGAGGCTGGAGGGAATGGAAGGAGGGCAGGGATCATGGCGGGAGGCCGTGGCCCTCCTCAGTAAGGAGCTGGGTCGTTCTGCAAGAGTCCCAGTATCTTTTCTTGCCTGGGCTTCTGTCTCACTCATTCTCACACTTTATTTCCAAATTCCCTTCTCAGTGGGAATGCAGACATTTTTTTCTTGATACATGATTCTCCTTGGCTTCCTCTCCTATCATGGAAGAAGTTCAGGAAGAACTTGGCTGGAGCAGAGGTTCTTGTGGATTCGGGTTGAAACATCAGGATCCTGCCGTCTGGCTGTCCTGCTGGGTAGAGCAGCTTTCTGCATTTGGCAAGACCCCAGTGGGGCAGCCCAGACCTGCCTGGACATCAGAGCCTGCCGGACAGGGAGACAGGCTCACCTCTGCACTGGGCCCCCGGGAGAATGCTCAAAGCACAGGAAGGTTTCTTTGCTTCTTGTCCACCCCCTGCAAGGGAGGAGGTGCTCTTCTGAAGAGGTTAGAGCTCCCGAAAGGACACGTGGCCCCTTTGCAGCCTTGTCTACGATGACAGCATCCTCTTCTTCATTCCGCTTTCTCCCACTGCAGCTTTTCTTCAGTTCCCTGGAGTCTGCCCCTCAGTGACTAACACACTCCCTCTTGGATGTCGGGGCTTCCGAAAGTAAGGAGCTGAATGCTTAGGTTTTTATGAAAGATTTTAATAAAGCGTCTTTGGGGGAGGCCTTAATTTTAAAACGTGCATCTTCCCATCTTCAAGGAGGTTTAGATCCCTTGTCCTTCTCGTTATCAGGGACACACAGCTGGACACAGGATAAGCCTACTTATCCCACTCCTACTTCTGCTGTCTCTAAACCATCAAGCTGAGCTACAGGAACACCTTCGTTCCAGTGTTGATTTGGTTCCCTGACAAGTTTCCTATTTTTCTTTTCTTTTCTAAAGTATTTTATTGAAGTACAGTTGACTTACAGTGTTGTGTTAATGTCAGCTGTACAGCAAAGTGACTCAGTTATACATACATAGATTCTTTTTCGTATTCTTTTCCACTATGGTTTATCATAGGACAGTGAATATAGTTCCCTGTGCTCTACAGTAGGACCTTGTTGTTCTTCCATCCTATATATACTGGTTTTCATCTGCTCATCCCAAACTCCCAGTCCCTCACCCCCAACCTTGGCAAACACAAGTCTGTTCTCTATGTCTGTGTGTCTGTTTCTGTTTTGTAGATATGTTCATTTGTGTTGTATTTTAGATTCCACACATAAGTGATATCATATGATATTGGTCTTTCTCTGACTTACTTCGCTTAGTATGACGATCTCTAGGTCCATCCATGTTGCTGCAATGGCATTATTTCATTCCTTTTCATGTCTGAGTAATATTCCATTGTGTATATGTACCACATCTTCTTTATCCATTCATCTGTTGATGGACATTTAGGTTGTTTCCACGTCTTGGCTATTGTGAATAGTGCTGCTATGAACATAGGGGTGCATGTACCTTTTCAAATTATAGTTTTGTTTGGGTATATGCCTAGGAGTGGGATTGCTGTATCATATGGTAACTTTATTTTTTTAACATACACATTCTCTCAGCGAGTGTGCTCTCAGCTCATACGGATGGCTTTTTTTAAAATGTTTATTTATTTTACATATTGTAAGGCATCTCTGGTTATCTGAAAGTCAGGATTGGCTCATTGATTCATTTAACAGGTGTCTATGATGTTTCCACTCTGAGCCACATCTGAGCATCATTAGAAAATTGGTGAATTACTTACCAGTAAGCCATTCTTTTAGAGGAGAATGTACTAGCCTAATGGAAAATTTCTCTTCATACTTGTTTAAAGGACATCAAATATATTCTTCCCCTTTCTCAGCGCCCAGAGGTTCATTGTCTTCTGTGCATCTGGACCCAACCAGCCAGGTGCGGGTTTTCTGCCTGCCACTGCTGCCAGAACAGCTCCATCCCCCATAAGAACAGGGCACCCCGGAGGCCCCCTCAGAATGTCTGCTCTTGGAAGAATCGTCTGCAGCTTTATCCTGCATCTCCTGTAACGCTCCATCCTCTCCACACTTCTGCTCTCTTCACGACATGCCATGGAGCAAAGCAGGTCTCTGTGAAGAGTCTGGTCCGATTATTATACGGAAGTAGTGGTGTGCTGGTGAATGTTTAACAACCAGCTTTCCAGGAAAAAAAAAGCCCTCATCTGCAGAGTTTGCCAGTTTCCATGGTGTAAATACTCCCACCACGTCGGTTCCAGGCTCCAGCCTCCATCACTGAGCCGAGTTGCAAGAGATACGGCTGGGGAGAGGATGTGAGCCGGCTGAAGCAGGTCCCGGTCTAAGACCTCTTGCTGAGGGGACCCCAGGGGACAGAGCCCGCAAGCTGGGGACTGAGGGTCGTCGTGGAGCCGTTCAGAGGCAGGGCAGGTTCTCTGGAAACAGGCTCGGAGATGGAATGGGCAGGAGGCGGCGTTGGGCAGGGAGAGGAGGGAGAAGCCAACTGTTGTCCTCAGAGTTGTCCTGTGTCCTGTGTCCCAGGCTGAGACAGTTGGGCCGGGGCCAGCCTCAGGATGGACCCCGAAGTTGCTGGCAGTGGGGCTTCTCTGCTGACATGCTCCCCTTCTTCAAAGGGAGACCAGGCGGGGTGGGTGTCTGAGTCCTTCAAAGGGGACTCAGACACCACCCGTCGGAGCGTGAGCCCCTCCACGAGGCTGGGCTCGGCCTTCAGCTGGACCTCTGTCAGCCCGTGCCTGTCCGCAGACGATCTCCTGGAGCAGCCTGCCCCTCAGCTGGGCCCCGCCTGTCCCCATCCTCGGGCTCAGCCCCGCAGCCTCCTTCCTGAATCCCACGCAGGTGCCACTCTGCTTGGCCAGGCCTGGACGTTCCCACTACATCTTCCCCGGGCGTCCGACCGCAGCTGCTTCGGGGTTCTGGCCTCGCTCCTCAGTGCTGGCAGCTTGTGGTGAGGCTGTCCTGCTGGGCAGACAGGGCGGACCCTGGGCTCGGGCTCTGTGCGGGGGACTCGGGCCTGCTCTGTGCATGGGTGGGGCAGGCGAAGGAAGCCACCCCACCTGTCCAAACCAGACTGAGGAGAAGAAGCAGATTTGGCCCGACACCACGGGAGCCGGAGTGACCGCAGAGCTCTGTGGTTTACCCTGATTTTCTTACAGGACACGGTGACATGCAGGCAGTACTGACGTCCCAGAGTCCCACGGCTGGTTAGGGACAGAGCAGGGACCAGAGCTTGGCCCAGAGCCATGTCTGTGCATCCTGCTTCCTGAAGCCCGAGTGTCTCCTGAGCCGTAGTCCCCTTCCCTCCCCTAGACAGTGTGTGTGTTTAGAAATGGCCTCGTTAGCAGATTTTATATGCACCTTCGTTAGCTCCTCCGAGAGTTCGCCCCGTTCTGGCAGGTGGCCTGTTTGAGGAGGAATTAGCCTGCCTGCCAGCTGCGTGTTGGATTTACATGCGAGCTGGGCCACGGGGAAATCATCTGGAATAGCTAAGGGGCTCACCAGACTCCTCAGCCTACAGGGCAGATGCGCCGCGAGCATGTTTTCTGCCTTACGGCGTGTCTGGGCCTCAGCCTGTGTCCCTGGGGAGGCAGCCCCTGCGGGGCCTCCAAGAATTTTTCTTCTGGCCCAGGCCCCGTGGGTCTTGCCCCCCCGACTTGTACAGGCCCCATGGGTCTCGCCCCCCGACTTGTATTTGCTACTTCATCCTCTTTTAGCAAATATTGTACCTAAAAGAATGAAGTAATTTGCATATAGTATTTAGTTATTTTTGAACTTTCTGGTTTTTCTCTGTGATAGTTTATTTTACAGATAACACATATTTCTTATCTTTCTAATGTATTCTTTTTGGTAATTTTAATCTATTTATTTAAGCGATTTCCCCATCAGTGATGAGTAAGAGGTCCAGGCTCCATGTGGGGAGGGGAAGGGATGTCCATCTGCTGCTGCAGACCATGCCCTAAGCGGGAGGCTGTGGGATTCTGGGCACCCCCAGCTGTGCCAGGCCTCTCAACTCTGCTTCATTGAATTCTCCTTCTCTTTTTTAGGCAAATGCTTTGATTCAAAAACAGCCAGCAGTGATGGGTTGGCAAAGCCTCCTCAGCCTACACATAGCGGGTACAAAACAGTTAAATACCCCAACTGGGGAGTGGACGAGAGGTGCAGGGAGGTGTCAGATGAGAAGTATCAGTGAGTCAGGGAAGCCTGAGGAATGGTAGGAAGTTGTTTTGTTGTCAGCGACAGCAACCAAACGGGAAGTTTCTTTCTTCCCACCAAAATGCAAGAGTCATATATCAACACCCACCCCCACTCCCAAATCACAGGACAAAACGAAGCCTGTGAATAGAGACGCCATCTCCCAGCTAACAAGCCGCTGCAGTTGGACTGGCTGGACCGCGGAGGAGCCGGCCCCTGGAAAGGAGGAGAAGCGCTGTGCATTTCAACATCGTACAGGTCTTGCTTTCACCAGAACCTAGAAAGATAGTTGATGGAAACGCGGCACTTAAAAATGGAGCTTTGAAGAATGGCAGGCAATGAAATGAAAGGTACCCTGTGACTGCTGTTAAAAATCCCTATTCAGAGAAGCACCAGACAGTAGGAAAGGAGCGATGTACCTGAGCCACACCAAGACAGAGGCGTTTACCCCAGCCGGGTCCAGTCTCCTAGTGAGGAGAATTAACCGTTAGTAACAGAACTCTACTGTGTGTGAATTGTAGCCTGATACGTGAAGAATTATGCTTAAGTTAGCCCTTTAGTCAATTGTATGCTTTTCTCATTCTTTCCTGTATAGGTTCAATCATTCTTAGCGCTTTATTTTGGGAAAGAGCCTGTATTAGTCTGCTAGGGCTGCTGTAACAAAGACCATAGCCTAGGGGCCTTAAACCACAGAAATTGATGTTCTCACAATCTGGAGGCTGGAAGTCCAAGATCAAGGTGTCACAGGGTGGTTTCTCCTGAGGCCTCTGACCTTGGCTGGGAGATGCCACCTCCTCCCTGTGTCCTCACACGGTTGTCCCTCTGTGTGTCTGTGTCCTAATCTCTTCTTCTTATAAGGACACCAGTCTGATTGGATTAAGGCCCACCTAACTGAACTCTGACCTTTACAGAGGTAACCTAATTACCTCTGTAAAGATCCTGTTTCCTGCTATGGTTATGTTCTGAGGTGTTGGGGGTTAGGGCTTCAACACATGAATGTGGGGGAACATAATTCAACTCATAATAGGACATTTCTGGACATTGTTAAGAATGGGTACCTGGTCTGGCTATGCCCAAGTGACAATTTCTGACAAAATTCTGGAGTCCAGGCTGTGTAGAACAGATAAGTTAATGCCCCTTAAAGAATACTGCCTTATCAAAGCTTATTCCTTTCCAAACCTAAATCCATTAACTTAGATACACCAGAGGACACAAAGACCGAAGCTCCTCCCAATTGGGTAATGGGCTTAGTGATGGTACAACATGACTGTGCTTCTTACACCTCCCACCGTCCAGTCCTGCAATGAGGAGATGTATGGTCCAAACCCACTGTCTCCATTCTCTGACCTCAAATTCATGCTCGATATGAATATTTGTCAGATTTAACTATGACATTCTCTGTGCAGAGGCTGGGTTTTCCACGCCTGATCCTGTGATCAGTGTCACGGCTGATCCTGTGAAGGAGCTGGCACCTGGCGTTAGAGCTCCCGGGTGTGATTGTGTCATGGAAGTGAGGTTGCAGATCTTGCTAGAATGATCTCCAATATCCATTCTCTTCTTCTCAGTACTAACAGAATCCAATTTTATTTGGGTTTAGTAGTATGCCCACTTATAAAAGCTACACCTCGGATCCTCCCATCCTAGGTAAGAATGACGATGTAATATAGTTATGGCTAATGAGGTATAAATGGAGGGTATAAGGTGAGCTTCCGGTTTTCAGAAAAGCAGTTTAAAGGGAGCTAGCTACCTAAGGCAGTCTGCTCCTTTTGCTCTTTGCCCTTCATCCTTCTTCCTGTCTAGAACACGGATGTGATGGCTGGAGTCCCAGCAGCCATCTTATAAGCATGAGCGTGGAGATAGTAGAGTGGAAATCTATACAGGACCTGGGTTCCTCATGAATTGGGGAACTATTACGCCAGCTCTCGCCCACCCTCCTCTGATTTCTCTTCTTGAGAGAGAAAAACAAGGCCCCAGGGCTGCTGGTATCTGCAGTGGCTCCTCCTGGACCACAGTGTAAAGTGTCCTCCCTGGCGTAAGCCACCCAATGGTCCTGTAAACCCTTACCTTGTTTAAGCCAGCATTTTGGGGCTCTCTTCCCTACCACCAAATGTTATGGGTAACCAGTGCAGGTGGGTACAGTGATTAGAATCATCCCCTTGTTCTCCCTGGATGTGTACAGAGCATCTTCTGAAAACCTCTGTGAAATCCTCCTTTAGGTATGAGTACTCCCAGAAAAAAGCTGAGGTTTACCTGGGTTCACACACACCTCCATCACTGGTTAGCTGTGTGACCTCAGGTAAACTGCTTCACCTCTGAGCCTCACTTTGTCGAGTGCTATCTCTCAGGATCATTGTGAGGACCAGGGAGATATGTACGTAAAACACCTGGCTCTGTCCTTGCACTCAGCAGATGGCCCTCCTGTTGTGACGACATCCCTTGTCCCCTCTAGAGGACGACTCACATCCAGGTGTCCAGGTCTGACTTTTCCTTTGGGTGCTCTTCCTGCGTCTCTCTCTAGCTTCCTGCAGGACATTTCCAGTTAGCTCTCCTGTGTCCCTTCCAATCCAGTCCCCAACCACCCTCTCTCTGACGATAATCACTGTCTATCCTGTATCTCATCCTGTATCCTGCCTGTTCGTTCAACTTGACACTCCATGTCACGCCGTGGACCATGCCACAGCACACCAGACCACACCATAGCACGCCACACTGTGTGAACCCACCCCAGGGACACTATACCACACCACACCATGACACCTCACATCCTGCTGCCCCATGCCATTCTATACGGTGCCACAGCACACCACGCCCTACCACAGCCTAGCCCAGACGGAAATTCAGCCTTTTTGGTAGCTTTCATAACTCCCTCTGCCTTCACGGAAAAAAAACTCACCAAGGCCTTTGCGTGGGTAGCAGACTGTACCGAAGATTTGGGGGGACAGAACAATTTTTGTTCCATAGAGGTTTCATATTAAAAAAAAAAAATTGCTCAAGTGTTTCATTACTTGTAACGTTTCTGGAAGCTTCTCAAGAGTCTGCCTTTCTGGCCCTTCTCACCTTGGTCTTCTGTGGGTGTACCATCAGTTCCTCTAATCTTTCCTGGTCAGTGATTTTTGGGGCCCTTGATGAACTCTTTGATCTCCTCCTGGGGAGCTGGTGCAGTCACCATCACTCATTGCCTAGATAATGAAATTCCCGGCTTTATTCCCAGCCCCAAACTCCTAAAATCATTCAGATTCCTGTGGAAGGAATCATTCCTTCCACAGTTTCACCAAGTGCATCGGCTGTCCGTGGGACCTGAGGTCTGCTAGGAAAGAGGCGACCCTCGCGTCCCCCTCCTGCTTACACAAGCGCTTGTGCTCACACAGTGATGTGTGCAGGGTAAAGCCAGCATGCTTGGCTCCAGCTACCGCCCAAAGCCCCCTTGTCCACCCCGCTCGATTTTCCTGTAAGACTGAGGTAGAGCGACTTTTTCCCATTACACATACGAAAATCACAGTGTCTTCAGTGACTGGCAGACTCAACTGCTTCTTCCCAAGGTGGGAAATTCTCTTCGCCACCCACTCATTTGCCGTTAAACGCCATGGGTTGGTGGTAGGAGAGAGAAGACATTTACAGAGCAGCGGGGAGCCTCCGGGTGTGTGAGGCCAGCGCCCCCCCACCTCCCTACCCCCCCTTCCCAGCTCCACGTCCTGCGCCTGGAGCAGTGAAGCTGGGTCCCTGAGCAGCAGACTAGCCAGGTCCCCCCTGATGCTGATAGATTTCGATCTATTTCCCATTGTATTGACTTCTTCCTACAAGGCACCTCCCCGTCATGCTGTCAGGAGCCTGAGGGTGCTGCCTGACTGTGGAACTGTGAAAAAAGGGGGAGAGCTCAGTTGTCTGTAATCTCACAATAGGAGAAACTCCCTCAGGACACGTGGTGATGTCATCGAGAGGCACATAAAGGAGAGGCTCATGTCTGGGGCAGGCCCAGGGTTGACGGGGAGAGAAACCCAGGCTCCCAGATTCTCAAGACAGGCGGCCGTTCACTGACAGCCAGACGACCCCGAATCCAGGTGTTACCGACCAGATCTCCCCGCAGACCTGCCAGAGAGTCGGTCCTGCCAGTCCCAAGAGGGGAGGGGTGAGGGGAGAAGTGGGGTGGGGGAGAGTCGGTCCTGCCAGTCCCAAGAGGGGAGGGGTGAGGGGAGAAGTGGGGTGGGGGTCTCCCAGGAGCTGGGCCGCACGGGGTTGCTGGCAGCTGCAATCTGCCTCACTCAGGGGGCCTGAGCCTGGAGGGGAGAAAGGAGGGCGGGAGGCTGGGGGAACGGCTTTGTGTGGCCAAGCCTCCCCATTCCTGGGGGCTGGGCAACGCGGGGCTCGTCTGCGTTTCCCCAAAGCATCCCGTGAGCCCGCCTCCTCTCCACGTTTCAGGGATCCTCATCCGCCTCTTGGGAGTAGGCGGCTGGCACCTTCTCCCCAAAGTCTGAGAGGACGGGCCAGCCAGTTTCTGTGGTTGTCTTCTGGGAGCTAACTGACCGCTGTCTTGCTGCGGCCCAAGAGCAGGGTTCCTGCTGGGATTTCTGCAGGAGGCGGCAGGGTCTCGGTACCCAGGTAAACTGAGCCGGGGCTGGGTCTTCGCTGGAGTGGCCTTTGCTGCGGCCTTCTGGCCTGGGAGCGCCCAGCTGACCTTTCAGGACCCTCAAAGGGGCAGCCTGTTCACCCACGTGTACTAGTTGGTAGGGCACCGCCCAGAAGGCGTCCCTGGCTGCAGTGTTTAGTCAACTGATTTCACAGGAAAATACTCAGTTGCCAAAACCTGGCAGTAGACACCTGCTTGTTTTGTTGACTGTACTTGCTTAGTCCCTGTAGCTGGGGCCGGTCACGTTTCCCCCCAGTTCATCCCTCTTTCCACTTCCCCTAGTCGACCCCTGCCTCCCCTGGAAGCTGGGGTGGGCGGTGTCTGTAAGCTGAGGAGGAGGAGACAAAGGTGGGGAGGCAGAGCTCAGGTGCTGAGTGTCTCTGCCGGCTCTGCTGCCCCACGCCACCCCCTGGAGGGTTGTCAACAGAGCCCCGGCCCCTATGATGCTTCTCCCTCAGAAGCAGAATCTCTACCAGGAGGAGCAGTGGCATTTTTTAAAACCTCTCCAAGGCATCATGATGGGGGTCCGAGTGGAGAACCACCTCTGTAAACCCACCGCACAGGCGTGCCTGACGCCCGCCCGCAAAGGAAAATTGCATCAGCGGGCTTTCTCACTCATTCACAAGGCAGTGTGTGGGCCCCTCCAGGGGTAAAAGCCTTGGAAACTCTTGGGATACACACGAATAAGATGCCTCTTGGGGTCTCATGGCTTGGGGGAGGGGGAAGGCAACATCCTCCATCGCCCCAAAGAGCTCCGTGGAGTGGATTTTGTTACCCGTACTTGACGACAGAGAAACAAAGGTTTGCAAGGTTAAGGCACCCAAGACTGCACAGATGATGGGTGACAGAGCCAGAATGCAGCTCAGACCTTTTAAATTCATAGGTTCATACTTTGTCTACTACTCTCTTCGTCTCCAGGGACAAAGGAGTTTGGAGGAGGTGGTTTGGGGCTGCTCTCCAAGCTGGCGTAGAAGTTTCTCAGGCGGATACAGGAGGAGTTGCATCCCAGGCCGCGGGGACGTGCACAGAGGCAGGAGCTCTGGCGGCAAGGCCCGCCCAGATTGCCAGAGTCCTGCTAGAGCATCTGGGTGGGTCAGGAAAGGCCCAGAACACGATCTGTGGAGAATAGCTATTATCCTGAAAGTGACAGGCAGTCTCAGAAGACGTTAATGCAGGGGATGGCTGGAATTGTGTCTTAGAAAGATCCCCTGCAGGTGGTACCATGGCCATGACCCATGGGAGACCCTGGGGATACTTGAGAAGCAGGTGTAGCCCCAGCCAGGTGGATCCCCAGACCCCCAGCTAAGAAGAACCCCAGCCAGCTGGAGCCTCAGTAGGAAGGACTCCCAGGTAGGAGGAGCCCCAGGCAGGAGGAACCCCAGGCAGGTGGAGCTGGCCTGAACCCACCATAGCTCCCTGTACCTTATGAGGGTGCAGGAACTAAGCTGACTGTCCTTTAACAAGCATCACAGTCCGACGTCGTGGTTTAGTGATGGGGCTTTTTCTCTGAAGAGCCCTTCCTCTTCTTTCCCCCTCACTGAATATCTCACACATTTCTAGCTTAGTATGTGAATCATGTGGGGTTCATTTTGAAGTGAGTGTGACTACAATTTCGCTTGGCTCTGGAGGGTCTCCATGCCCCGGAAGCAGCTTAGCGGGCTTGTGTGAACTTCAAGGACGGGCTCCCTCTGGTTGCACAGAGCTGAGATTTCTCCTGCAGCCACACTGACGTCTTGTCCCCTTGTCACCGGGCCTTCCTGTATTCCCTGCATTGGAGTCAGCGGTTTTACAGATGAGGCAAGCGTGCAGTGGGCTGTGGCATTGCAGGGCTGCGCTCCCAGGACCCCAGGGGCCTGAGTGCCCGGTTGTGAACCTCCAGTGGCGAACGTCACTCAGCCTCTGCTCCTCTCCTCTAACTTTGTCCCTCTTGCAGGGATCGCAGTGCAGCATTCCTTACTGTCTGGCAAGGTATTTTGGAATGTAGCTCCCAGAGCCAGTCCACACTAGTGTTGGGACAAGTAAAAAATGCACAGTGCCAGCAGACGTCCAAATGGGGGAACTAGTGCAAACAGATGACTATAAAATAAAAGTTAGGTCATGAACATAGTGGATGATGGAATCGTGGAAATGGGAATCTGAACGTCTAAAATACAGAATTGGTATTGAAGGGAATGTAGCTCTATTTCCAGGCTCCGGAGTCCTCCCCTTTCGTGCCCCTCTGCCTTCCCCACCCCCATCAGTTATTGCTTGGAGAGAAACTTGGGTGACTGGTTTTAATGAATAAGATGGGAGTGATTGGAAATTTGCATACCAATGACTTTCATGCAAATAGGTGCTTTTGGAGTGATTGCAAAATTTATTCTCTTAAACATTTTAAACCCTCTCTTACAGTGTGGTTTCTGACAGTAAAAACTGACTTAGGACAATAAAAAAAGGGGGCATTTTTTTGCTCCCTTTCTTTGCACCTGGCAAGGGCAAATTTCAGCCTGTCCTGGGGCCAGTGTTTTCCAATTAAGAATGAAGAGACTCAGATTTAACTTGGAAAAATGTATACAGTGTTTTTATTTCTGATCACATAAAAAGTACATATACAGCATGAAAAATTAGGAAAATAATAAAAGTAGAAAGATGAAGGTAAAGTCAACTGCACTGTAGCTCTTTCTCTTTACACACATGTAAAATTTTTCAGCAGAAATATGGGCGTAGTGGACTTACTGTTCTGTAATTTTTTTTCACACTTAGTGATTTATTGAGAACATTTCCCCATGCCACTAAATATTCTTTAACGGTAAGGTTTTTATTAATTGTATACTGGTGGCATTGTGACACTTTCATTTGTTTCACCGTGCCCCAGTTTTGTATTTTTAAGTGGTTTCCAGTCGTTTGTTATTGTAAACAAATGTTCATCCTTACAGATGCATCCTATGAACATCTATGATTATTTCTTGAGGTGAAATGCCTAAAAGTGGAATTGCTATAACTGGGGGCACACACATCGTACGTATCTCCTCGCTGCCCCCAAGAAAGCACATTACAACTGATGCGCCTGCCAGCCTTGTGTTTCTTTACGTCTTTGGTTAACACTGTAGACCAGATTTTGAAAGTACCTGCTTCTCGTTGGAACGCCGGTCAAATTGGAGTGCACTCACCTATCTTTTCTCCCAGGCCACAGCTGCCTTCTTTAAAGTCAGAAGGTCATTTTTCCCCCATTTTTTTTTATTCTGGTAAAATACACATAACATAAAATTTACCATCTTAACCATTTCTAAGTGTACAGTTCAGTAGTGATAAATACCTTCATATTGTTCTGCAACCGTCACCACCACCCATTCATCTTCAACCATTTCATCTTCTCAAACCCAAACTACATCCTCGTTAAACACTAACTCCTCATTTGCCCCCAGCCCCTGGCAACCCCCATTCTACTTTCTGTCTCTGTGAATCTGACTATTCTAGGGACCCCATGTAAGTGGAATCCCACAGTATTTGTCCTTTTGTGACTGGGTTATTTCACTGAGCATAATGTCCTCAAGGTTCATACATTGTGCAGCCTGTGTCAGAATTTCCTTCCTCTTTAAGGCTGAATAATATTCCATTGCATGTATAGACCACATTTTGTCTATCCGTTCACTTATCAGTGGATGCTTGGGTTACTTCCACCTTTTGGCTGTTGTGAATAATGCTGCTATGAACATGGGTGTACAAATACCTCTTCAAGTCCCTGCTTTCAGTTCTTTTAGGTGTACACCCAGAAGTGGGATTGCTGGGTTGTATGGTCATTCTCTTTTTAAGTTTTCGAAAACCTGCCATGCTGTTTTCCATAGCAGCTGTACCATTTCACGCCCCACCAACAGTGCACAAGTGTCCAGTTTCTCCACATCCCTGCTAACACTTGTTCTTTTCTTTTCTTTTCCTTTCTTTATCCTCCCTCCCTCCCTTCCTTTTCGATAGTAGTCATCCTAATATGTCACTCTCGTTAGGATGACCACTATCAAAAAAATTTCTCATTTGCAGTTTCCTGATTAATGATGTTAAACATCTTTTCATGTGTTTGTTGGCCATCTGTATGTCTTCTTTGGAGGAATGTCTGTTCAAGTCCTTTGCCCATTTTTAAACCACGTTGTTTATTTTTTGTAGTTGAGTCGGGGGTCATTTTTAGAGGCTCGGGTAATTCCCATTTTCTGCTCCCCTCCCCCGTCTCTTCCTCAGGGTCAGCAGGCTGGCCACCCTGCCCCTGTGGAGCATCTACCCACTGTGGCAAATTTAAGCAGACAAGTAGGAACATGGCTCACCGTGAGTCACTTTTATCATTTACATTTTAGGTCCCACGTAAGTATAGGTGTGTTCCACCAAACATACCGAGATGGGGAGCTTGCGCAGGACAGATAAGTTAGGGAGTGAGTACTTAGATTACAGGAAGATGCTGGCCCTGCTGTGTAATTACTTTCAGAAAGAACAGCTAGAGATCAAGCATTTAAAAATCAAAGTCATTTTATCTGGTAG